TATATATATATATATATATACATATTTTAAAAAATAAAATACATAAACATTTATAACTCAAGTAAAATTATGTAAAGAAATCAATTATATCTCAAAGACCTAGATTAATACTTGTTATTAATTAGCTCTCTATATCAAAATAAATTTATGTTAGGCGTATTGTTTATCATACTTAGTTAGCTGACTAAGGAGTGACTATTTTTGACTGACAAAATTAGAACAATTATTATCGTATATTTGTTTATTTTTATTTAAATATTTATTTTTGAGGATGTTTAACAACATATCTATAAGAAGTGTGAATGAATATACTTCTAACATATATATATATTTTTGTATGCAAAGTTAATTAATAACAAGTACTGTCTTTAAGGTACAATTAATTAAACAAATTATTATTATTATATTATTACAAATATATAAACAATATAATTTACTTGAGTTATAATTTTTTATGTAATTTATTGTTTTGAATATCTTAATTTTTTTTTGTATAGAGCTTAAGGAAGCAATAAGCAATAATTAAATAGCAAAACATTGCAATTAAAGATTTGCTGATAGGTGGTTTTCCCTTTTGATCCAGAATAACTCTTATTTTTCAAATTTAATAATAAAATAATGATTGATATAAAAGTTACAATAATTAATAATTAAAATTTGCTTACAGATACGCAGCAAGGATTCATAGTTGGTTGCTTCATGCTTTTTTGTACAGTATTCGCGCCAACTGTATGGCACCAATGGATCTACTCATGTTCGGCAAATGCAAACTTTTATTTTGGTGTAACATTGGCATTTGCTATCGCACAAATATTTTTATTGACTGATGTGTTATTTGCTAGTGTTAAACGTGAGCTTGCATTGAAAAGTGGTATTCAAAATGAAATTAATGGAAATAATGCTAAACTTGTATTAGAATAATCTAATCTAATAATTACTAGAAATATTATTTGCCAAGATTTTTAATTTTATTTTTACAACTTTGTAAGTAACGCCTTGAAGGTACTAATTAATTAAAAGTATCCGTTCATGATTAGTCACTATTTTGATAATTTAAATGAAGATCAATGTAAAGAATTATTTTTTAACAGCGAAGAAATGTTAATAGCTGTTGGGGAACGAATCTAGAAATGTGGTTATAGGAAAAATAAAATTTGGCCTCATTTTTTAAACTAATAGTTTTGATGTTTGAGGATGAAAATGGAAACAATTTTTTTTTTGTTAGAATTCATAGTTTTAAAACCTGAAAATTCTATACTGATAAAAAAAATAATTTGATTCAAGAGAAAAAATTTTAGACCATGAACCTAATTTAAAAGAATGTGATTGACTTAAATTAAATAAAAAAGTTCTTGAACTAACAAATTGTTCTTAATTTAAGGACGTTCATGCGCAACGCTAGAGTCAAATGAGTACTAAATTTTGATGAAATTTATTGGGGTCTTAAGAAAAATTTTGGTTCTCGGTCAAAACTTCTCAGCAAATATATCCCAAGCAAAAATATTCGACATTAGACCAACGCATAAGCTTGTTACCGTAATTTAGATATTTTTGTCAAGGGATAATTCTGGCATAAGAGATTTTTGTTTTAGGATATTTTACCATGGGATATCTTTTCGATGTGACATATTTACTGGGATATTATGTACTAGGATCTTATGACCGGACACCAAAAATTTTTAAGTATCTCAATAATCTTATAAGGTAAAAGACCCCATTAGTGGCACCTTTACCCCTCTATCAGTGGCACTTTTTCTTTCAATGAAAAAAGGTTCTAATTGGAATAAAAATTATTTTGATCTAAAGGTCTTAAAGATTAGAAATAATATATTCTTTATTAAAATTAATGATTTTATTAATTGAATAAGTACCAAAATTAAAGAAAGTGTCAGTAAAGGGGTCCCTGTCACTAATGGGGACTTTTACCCTATAATAATTTATAATTTTTTTTCATTTATCTGAAATATTTTAAGCATGTAAATAGCTGTATTCAGTGTGGTGAAAAATGAACTAAAATAATTTTAATTATACCGAGTAAAATAATAAATAATTTAAACGTTCGTCAATACTATGTTTTTGATACATTTATATAAACTACATGAATCAGACAATTTTTTCAAACATTATTTATTATGATGGTATCTTTTTTATTAGTTTAAATATTATAATTTTAAATTTAAAAAAAGCTGATCTGCTATAAGCTTCTATAATGAAAAACTAATTTTTAATTATTAACTTTTTTAAATAATCAATAACGAATTTTCAATTTTTGAGGGAAGATAATTATATAATTAAAATTATCAAAACTAAAAAATATAAATTTATAGTTACTATTAAATCTTACGCATAATCGTCCTAAAGTTGATTTTACTTTTTGATTTGAAATCATCCAATTCTTCAAAATGATGTTCTTGATTCAAGATTTTTTTTCTTAATTAAATTAATTTTTTTTATCAGTGCTCTTTCAAATTCCATTACTGAAGAAAAATGGAGAACCTGGAAATTGAGATAAAAATTGAAGTAATTATTAACGATGATACATAATTTTGGAGAATGAAGATCCAATTTAGGATGCCATAGCCGAAGAAATGAAAAAAAGTTTTTTTCATTTTTTTCACCTTCAAAAATGAAAATATAACTTTTTAATTCTTTCTTCCGATCAGGGACGCTGAAAATTTTTTCTTCATTTACATTTAAAAGTTCTAAAATGAAACAAAAATAAGATTGAGTCTAAAAACATATTGAAAGTTTTACATCTTCAATTCTTCTCTCTAAAAACGAGCAAAAGCTTACATTTTTGAAATTGAGATGAAAAAGCAAAAAAGAATGTATGAAACATTAAATATCTAGTTAAAATCAAAAAAAGTATCGTATTAAAAAGAATCGATATTTTATATTTTGAACTCAATTCCAATTTTTGTTAAATGAAGAACCAAATACCGTGATTTCATTGACTGGTGCTGCCTCTATACTTCCCGTATGATACTTATCTACAAACAAAAATTAGGACAGTGAAGCTACACGTATTTTTTGTTAATCATAACCAATTGAATAATTTGTAAGTGACGTCATTTTGTATTTGAGTCCGTAACAAGTTTTTTTTTTTTTATTGAACCTATTTACTGTCTTATATTTCAATTTAAAACAATGGATACACCAATTACCACGTCTTTAGATTCAGAAAAAATTTTGAGTGGATTTCAAATGTAAGTTTTGTTTTTAGGTAGAAATTATTTTTTGGACATAACTTGTCATGGGTTTTGTATTGAAAATGATCAAAATAATCAATGTCAATTGATTTCATTTCACATAAAATGCTGATTGAATTACCACAGAGTTATTGAGTGATAATAAATAATTTATATTTTATATTTTATAATGATATTAAAATTAATAGACACCTGTCAATTTTTTAGATTGTTATAATAACTAAGTTATTATAAAAACATTTTTATAGTAACTAAATTATTATAAATAAAATTCCATCGCTGGAAATTAAAAAAAATTACTCATGCAAATTTTTTTTATAATTGATTTAGGTATCATAAATATATAAAAATTTTCAGATCTTTGTTGATTTTATTAATATATATTTTATTAAAAAAAATTTTTTTTCTATTTAATTACAGAAATTGGGTAAAAGTCCGTGATGCAGAGACTAAAAAAGTTTTATGGCAAGGAAATAATGACTTGTAAGTAATAATAGTTTTGGTAATAAAAGGTAAACGCACAAATAATTGACAGGTTACAAACAAACTGATCTAATGGAACTGTTCCTTTTGTTGTCACTAATAATGCGCATGCGCTATTCATCTAATGAAGTGTAAACCAATATTGATATCATGGAAAGTAATTATCGCAATTAATTGTGAAATTTCTATTATAACAAGATTTGAATTTTCATAAATTAATTTTAATTTTTAACAAATGTTTTTTCTGTAGTGAATATTATCCATTTCTTTGCATTTTTAATTTTATTTTAATTTGAAGAAATAGTCTTGGATTTTGATATAGTTTAAAAATGAAAACTCAGCCTTTAGTTAATCGTAGCGAAAAAATTAAAAATAATATTTAGATAATAAATTAACTCTATAAATTTAGACAATAAATAAATGAATAAACAAAGAATAAGATGAATAAAAACAAGATACGATTTTTTAATGCAAAATACTTTGATATTGCGCGCGCATTAATAAACAATTTTCTAAAACTTCACAAAAAATTCGTTGACTTGAAAAACTTTTTTTTTTATTTATAGCTTGCTTTTTTCGCAATGGCGAAAGAAAGTTGTAGCGCAAAAAATTTTTTGAAAATAATTTTTATCGTAAAACAACAATTTTTCGTTCATTTACTTGAAAAATCCAAAAAATCAAAAATTCAAAAAATGAATTTTTGTCAACATACATTAAAAAAAATTTTTTTTGGCATTAAGATATTAATATCAAGTTATTTTTTTTCATAAAAAAAAAAAAAAAAAACGAGTTAAACTTGACTTGAAGATTTTGTTCTTACACCCGATGGACCGTACAATTTCAATAATTAAGACGGAGATAGTAATATTTTTCCGTAAAAATCTACTAGATAACGCCATCTTTTTTGCAGGCTAACTATTGACTGTAGTAAAAGTATACTTTTCAAATTTAGCTTCATTTTGTTTGTTATTTAGTTTTCTTCCTTCCAATCAATGAACTCTATACTTGCTAGACTAGAATATTAACAGAAATAACTCTATAAAAATTGCACATGATTTTTATATTTTAGGTCGGTATCGGATGAAGAACATGAAGCGCATATTCCAATTCAAATATTCAAATGTAACGCCGTTATACGAGAAATAAATTTTAGTTCTGTTGAGAATTTAGAAAACTTGAGATTGGAACAGAGAGTACTTTTCAAAGAACGCTGTCTGGAGGAGTGGAATTTTGAATTTGGTTTTGTAATGCCGGGGTCCATTAATACTTGGGAAAGTATAATTCTTGCCGCTCCAGAATGTCAAATGATGCCTGCAAGTTTTCTCAGGTACGATGTAAATGATTAATTATATTCTACATAATTTTTAGTTAAATTAATTTATTAATTAATAAAATTAATATTTTTTTTTAAAGTGGAAATCTTATCATCGAAACAAAGTTCCTTAATGAAAAATTACTAATAGCAACTAGCCGCATACGTCTTTTCTATGTTTGAATTACAATAAGAATTCAAGATTTTGTGTAAATATTCGTTGTTTGAAATAAAAATTTGTATTATTCAGTTGAAATTGATTACTATCAGTCTTGTTGAAATCTTAAACAAATCTTATCATTGATAAGTTATCAATATTCAAGTAAGTATCTGTTTTTTCTTTTTATTGCGAATTTCGCTACAGAAACTTGTAAAAAATTTAATTAAAATTTTTTTTGTCTTCATTCATTATTATTTATTTATTTATTAGTTAATTTCAATGCCAAGGTAGTATAGCCAAATGACAAAAGTATACAAGAAAAATAGTATAATAAAGTACACGTATAAATGATGAAGATATAAAATTTTTAATTTTAGATATTAAAAGAAAGTTTTTTATCTTAAATTTAGAATTTTATTATGATAAATACAAGAAAAGTATCAATTTGAATATAAAAATTAAAGAATTAAAATCAGTGATGCAAATACATAAAGATCATAATCTCATATAACAAAATTGAGTAAATGAAGATCAGTAGTTTAGAATTAAGATTCATTGTCTCGTTAAAGTTTCATGAAGAATTAAAAGGCACTAGTCTTGAATGTGTTTAGGCTAAGTGAATTTGTGACTTCAATTGGTAATTCTCTCCAGATTCGGATCGCAGAAATTAAGAAAGAATGCTTAAAGGTAGTAGTTGAGAAGTTAGGCATTTTAAAAGACATGTTATCTTGTTTTGAAGCAATTTTTTCCGATCTTCTGATTTCTATGGATTCTTCAACGAAGAGATTTCTGAGGAACTTTGATTCACCTGATTTTAGAAGTTTGTAAATGAAGCATGCTAACGAGTGAAGTCGTTTAGATTTAATCGTGAGCCAGTTTAGTAATTTACATTATTATTGTATATATGATACAAGTATAAAATGAAGGTAAACCTTGACCAACTTTTAAGCTTTGTCATGGTCAAAACATTTCACGGTTAGACAATTTAATACAATTTATACGTACACGAAGAGAACATGATAGTACTGGCTACTAGGCCGGATGGTACTCAGTAACATCTTGATAGTACTGGATGCTAGTTGAAATTTTTTTTTACAGATGTTACTGAGTACTATCTTGTTCTCTTGGTATATAAACATAGATAACGTTGAAAATTTAAAAATTTAATGATAATTTTACTATTAACGTAATTCATTAGTAGAAAACAATTATGGTTTTTATAATTGACCTATTTTACTTAATGTGAGTCTAATGCCACTTATGAAACATTAAGTACTATCATTATTCTAATCATTTATGTAAGGGCTCGAAATATGTCCATCAAAGTGATTCTCGATAAATAGTAGGGCCACTTACGCATGCAAGTAAGAGCGTGTATGATTTACTAAATGAGTTTAAGGGTAAGGCCTACTAGGCCAGTGATGTGAAGCAAAGCATGTGCTCGTCAATTTCTCGTCATTTGACGTCAATTGACCAACTAAAATAATGACTGCCGGTAATTTTTCGAATTTAATGGCGATTTCCGTGAAATTATAAATAAAACGACTTCAAAAATTATTAAAAACTTGGCCAAAAAGTGACTGAAGAATTTTTGAAGGTCATTTTCCATATAAGTAGTTGAGCAAGTCAGATTTATTTATTACCGTCAGAATTTTTAGATAAATTTTGTTTTGAATATTTAAAATATTTAGGTTGCATATGAAATAGGTTGGTTTGTTTTTTTTTTTTTAAAGGAATTTTCGTAAAAAAAAAAGTGCTCATGAATTTTTGTGACTGACCAAAAAAAATGACGAGCATTTGTTCATCAATTGCTCGTGATTTGACCAAAGTTAAAAATGACCGTCATTTCACATCACTAGGTAGGCCGTTTAAATGTATTTTTAAAAATTTTACTTTTCTAATTATGTCTTAATAAATAAATTTTGAAATCAAATAAAATGAAGCTTCCGAAAAATAAGATATTCTTAGCTATTGTGGAAGAAATTATAACAAAAATTTAACAATTTCTTCAAAAAGTAATTAAAAAAATAAAATTTCAGAAAATACTTTTACTACGGCCTAGCCTTAAGTGGCTGAAGAAGAAGGAAAGAAGAAAAGGATATTTTGGTGGTTGGACTTGTCCACTTTTCATTGATAAAACAGGAAATTCTCTATGGTTTTTCTAAACCTGCATGCAGTTTGCAAGCAAATGAAGCATTCTAACTTTTGCAGTAACTTTACATTTTTGTTCTAAGAAGTAGTTTCTTCATTCAAATGTGATTAGCTTCAATCAAGAATCTAAAATCTCTATTGAAAAAAAAAATTTAATTTTCAAACAAATTTACAAAATTGGGATTTTTTTTCTGATGCAGTCAAAGTTTATGTTGAAAACCACACTTTCTATCATTTTCTAATTATCACACAGGATGTTGTGTTAAAGTACCTGTAATTTTTCATACAATAATAAAAACAGATTGAATAGTGAGTGATTCAGCAATCCAATACTATAAATACGCTTCTAAATAAATATTCAACTTTCAGTTGAAAAAATTTATCTGTTACTTAATAAAATTATGTTATTTATTTTTTTAAGTGTTTCAAATTGGATACATTAATTTTTAATAATATCTAGAATCATGATAATTGAAGTAAATATTTTTTTATTATTAATCATAATGAGTTCTATGGTAAAATGTAAATTAATGAAATCAGTGATGAATTTAACACCAGGTGATGCTATCAGAGTAAAATTTTTGAAAAAAAATTCAAACGAAGTATTTGACAATTTTTTTGGAAAACTCAAAAACTTCAACTATAAGTGTAAATATATCGGGAAAACCAGAATTAATAATTTATGATGTTATTAATTTCGATGAAGTGAAGTTACTTCATTATCAACCATTTTATATTGAAGGAATTATACCGAAGATAAGAAAAAGGATTTTTAACCAGTACGAAGAAAAATTATCGTTTGATCATATGGCGGGTGACTCCAAAAAAAAATAAGAAATACCATCGATTCGAACTGATAACACTGTGCTATCATTTTCAAAAACGTGAACTACCGTTTAATTATGACAATGAATTAACGAAGAAACCGTTGAAATTAATAAACTTTTACAATGATAGTAGGGTTGATGATTTCAATAGATTATTCATTTCTAATTCTTCTGCTGTGGTGATAAGGTTTGATGATCCAGCGGAACGTTCTCTAAAAAGGGAAGTATCTAATAGAAGAAAAAAAAAAGTCAATCCACCACAGCTTCATTATTTAGCGTCAATTACTACTGGAAATTGTTTATATCAGGTAAAGTAGCTGAAAATTTACTATAATTTGGCGAAGGAAGGGTTAAAACAAGAGAAATTAGAGGAAGAAATCTGAAAAATTGCCGACCGAAATTTGAAAAAATAAGCTTTAAGGACGTTCGTCGGGAAGAAAAAGACACCAATAGGTTATGGCTATTGGTTTCTTTCTCACGCATTAGTGCTGCCTCTCTTTACAGACTATCGCTCACTTACTTCCACTCATGTAAATTATCGAAAGTCACTATAACTTCAAACATTTTTTATAAAAAAATGAATATCGCTGGTTTATGTTATTTTTGATAAAAAATATACTTTTTATATCTTCAATTAATGATTCTCAGTTTTTTAAAAAAATCCTTAGAAAAGTAAGATTGATATTTAATAAAACGTTCGCTTGAACGTCGTTCAGCATAGAGTTTGCATGTAAAATATATAAATTTTAAATGCTAATATCTCAAAATTTCAAAAAAAATTTAAGAAAACGGTTTTTTCACGGAACGTCCTTAAGCGTCAGATTAGAAAATTTTAACATTTTTTCTTTATAATTCAACGAAAAAATAAATATTTTATTAATAATATATAAAAATAGCCGTATATTTTTTCTTAATCATAAATATTACAGCATTAAGCGGATCAAGGAATATTACTCATTTTTACAGTACTCCCTACTCCCTTTTACTTTTGAAAATCATTGAAAAATAGTTGACATAATAATTTTTTAAAAAATACAATTCATTTTTCAAAATAATGATTTTATTACAAATAGTTAAAAGTAATAATGGATAAATATTTAAAATTGTCCGCAATTTTATTCGTTGGAATATATTGAGTTATCGATCCAAATGAAAATTAGAATACTTGTTACGGACTTATATATTAATTCAAGCATTCAATTTTCAAAATCAAATTAATCAATCACAATACTATTATAACCGAAAAGTTTTCATACTTTTTGTGAAAAATAAGATAGTATAAAAAGTTAAATTATTTAAATAGTTGAGAAGCATGATCCCAATAACACGTAAAAAATATTTTTTCTTTTTTCCACGTAGAACTGTGAAAAATTTTTTTTCTTAATTTCTAAGTACATATTCTAGTAAGAAATTAAATTTTCTATAAAAAATCTCTAATATGTTTTTTTTTTTTCATAATCTTAACAGATAAAAATTTATCAGGATTTGAATGACTCAGAGTCCAAAATAAATATGGGAAATTTTATGCCAAATCGGACTGATTAAAAAATTTCAATTTTTGATTCCTTTTATTTTTTACTACCGACCAAAAAAACATATTTCCTGATAAGTTTCGAGATTTTCTTGATTACACGTTCAAAAGACATTGAATTTTCTAAAATAATCGCTATTTTTTGCGCATAACTTGTTCAAAAATAGTCCGAACTAAATTCGCGTTACTCATACCAAAAAGGCGTATCAAAATTATTGTTGACAGTATAAACAATAAAAAATAAAGCTATATTAGGAATCTTAGAGGTAAAATATAAAATTACCAGAAAAATAATTCAAACTTTTATTGATTAATTTTGATAAATTTCTTAGAATCACTGCTTTCACAAAAAATTGAGATTTATGGCTAACCTTACAAACAGAATTGCATGTTATTGTAGAAGAAGTGAAAAATTTTAAATTGTTCTGGATCTGTATGGGTCGTAATATTCCTGAAACAAAGCAACAAATATAATTATGATTAATTAATTACTAATTACAAACTGTAGAATCTT